AGTGAAAGGTTAGAGTGACTGCTGTTTGCTTTACTGTAGTTCTGTAGAGCACACAGCATAGAGTATTAGAAGATTAGTGACACAGTAGGAAAGGTCTTTATAATACCACATACATTCCTATCTGCATTAGCCATGCTTGATTACTAGTACCTATATAAGGTTGACTTCTACTTATAGCACATTCAATAGGTAACAGTTGGTTCTGCCATTTGCTACTGGTGTATCATATAAAAACACTTTCAGAACTCAGAATTGACTAATACTTACCAGCATTAACTCTGTCCACCTATCCTGTTCAAATGTTCAAACCCATGGATAACGCTATAGCTGTATGAAAAAGAGCTGATCATATATTTATACCCTTGTGCTCATCTGAAACTAATACACAGCATTTTACATTGCTTCAGGCCCACAATGTAAACAAGCCTGTTTTCCCATGTAAAATACTTGAGGGGAGGGAACCCAAAAAGATAACTTACAGAGTACTGCATAAATTAAATTTACTGGGATTAATACAAATGCAGTTTAAGAAATTACTTTTAGATTTTCTAAAATAATTGACTAGTACGACTGCTGAATTGAAAACATGGAAGCAACCTGCACTTGGCTCTTTATGTTACAAAATGTCTGATTTCTCTTGATACTTCCTTGCCACTGCCTTATCCCTGATGCCAGCCAAGACTAGGATGTTTAAAATCAGTAATAATAAGCTAGGTCATCAGCATCAAGATACTGTCCATCACAGAAGGTTAAAGCCATGCATGAGAACTGATGGATGCTTCTATATTTCTCATCTCTGAAATTAATACATTCTGACTTGGAATAGGAGGCCCTCTCAGTTTTCTACTCCTGCCAACTAAAACCAAAGCAATGTAGTTCTATCTGTGAAATTGCTGAGACCTTGCTAGGTGTACCTGCAGCCTTGAAGGTATAAAATTGCTTGCTTTGACATTAAAAATGCAATTTCAGAGACACTATCTCAGATTAGATTAAATAACTGAAGAACAGCTCCCATACCAAAACTAAAGTCTTCTGCTTTCTCTTCCTTCACAGCATACTACAAACTCTGCACCCCACCTAAGAAAGGAGAGCAAAGATAACCCCATTTCCCATTTCTCATATCAAAGACAAGATGGGAACTTGTCAAATCTTCTCCTAATTCTCTCTCTCTTCCTGTTTCAGTTTTTTATTACCTCTCCATCAAACCACCATCTCCCTGTGGCTGTGGGATTTGTACTCCAAAGAACAACTATCAGCTCATTTCAATGCTTTCATAGTCAAGCTTACACTGGTCTTCCACTGCAACAGAATAAAACAAAGGTATCTTTGCTTCTTAAGGACACCTTTGAATTCCGAAATCAACTGCTTTTTCAACACTTACTGTTTCCAGATCAGAGGGGAATATGAAAGTAAACAATCTGCTTTACCCATACTGTGCTTTGCTGCAATGATTTCTAAATGTCTCCAAAGGCACAGACTCTGAAAACTTTCTGGATTCTTTTCACACAAACCTTAAATGTTCCTAAAGAGGAACATTTGAATGAGAGGAAGTCTGTTCTCTTGGCTTGTGCAGCCCATTCTTAGTGTTGCTCTTACTCATTCAGTGATTTCTTCCATGTCTTTCTGGATACTGGATACTTCACACTCTCTTCTCTCATTTTTGTATGTAATGCCACAAAACTCTGCCCAGATCTCCTACTCCCTTCACTCTGTGCAATTTCCTTTGCTCATGACACCCAAATGTATGTTAGTTTTTTGCTTCTCTACTCAAGATAACAGATGTGACACTGCCAACTCAATTATCTGCCCCTTTTAACACCATCCTGACACCTCTCTCTCTCCACCTCCACTCTAGAGCATAACCTGCAAGTCACAGTAGAGTCCTCTCTCCCTGTGTAGCAAATCTTCACTTCTCTCTTCTCAGCACTCCCAAGATCCAATTATTTTCCTCTGCATATAGATTTTATTTTTTTTTCAGCTCTTAATCTTCCATCTTTTCTTAAATGCTGTAGTCTTCACTTCAGTGTCCCAAGCTCACTGAAATCTGAACCACTATAACCTTTGTTCCTTCTGACACAGTTCTGCACACCCTTATCTCTGCATTTGTCTTCTCACAAATCAAATTGAGAACTTAATAACCTTGCCAATACTGCAACTCCCTGCATGTCTGTCATGATTAAACTACTTCTATTTCATACTACCTGGAGGTACAGAACACACGACCCACTGCCATGTCACACTTTGAATTCCTCTAGGTAATAAAAAAAATGCAATGCCAATACACAGAAATTGTTGACTTTTATGTTTTATACATGTTTTTCAGACAACTCAATTTACCTGCCCAGCTGCATGTTAGATGCACCATTACAGCAAGCACTAACCAGCTTCACTTGTGTGAATTCAATACAACCAAGTTGCATCTCATCCCAACATAATCAATGAAGCCTCCAGAGGGATTCACCCAACCCACAATTAAACATCTATTTTACTGTAAACTGAGCAGCTCTGCAGCCTCTGAACAGCAACTGCACTAAGGAGATCTCCAGTGAGCACAAAGGTTCCTCAGACAACTGATGTCACGTGCAGATTCCCAAATCTGGATGACTAAGTCCAGCCCTTGTCTGTGATGAGGACTGGTTTTATTTGTAGAAAATAATCATATAGTGATGAAATGGGGAGCACCCTCTGATTTTGCATTCCATCAGAAACTGTTTCTTAAGAATTCTTGTTACAGAAAGTCTTGCTAAATCAGAAGAACTTCAAATGTAATTGCACAACTCCAATGGAAAATGTATTTCTCTTAATGGTTTTAAAAAACAACCTGAATTTTTCAGAAAATAGACTTGAAAACACTAGAGAGAAGTAACCTGGATTTCAGGCACTTTCTCATTGCACTTAGCATGAATTATGTGCCTTAGGTGCTACATGAATACACATCCCTAAATAATTAATACACAAATACTTGAAATATCAAAATTTAAAAATAAAACAATTCCATAGTTGCAACAGAACATTATTTTTATCTAATGTGAAGGCTGTGACAAGGAGAGAGCAGCTGGAATTATTTAAAAGACAGCACTATGGATAAGCTTATTTTAGGTGAAAGATGCTAAAAGCTGCTGATACTACTTACTGCATCCACTGCATGAGAAGAAAAGCAGCAGATATAAAATAAAGCAGACAAGGAAAACACAAGAGTCAGCTGGTTCTGCAGCTAGGTGTAAAATCTAATGGTGTGAGGCCAAGTGCAGTCACAGAGCATCCAGCAGCAACAAACTAACTCTGATTTCTGTAGTTGTGCTCCATTCCACAGCAGTGCTGAGAGGAGAGAACCTGTACAGGGCAACTTCATCTGCAGCTACCATCAACTTCATCTAACTTAACTATGTAACAACCTTCATACTGAAGAAGGACCAAGCCAAGTCAAATTGCTGTTACTCAGGTACCAAACACTAAAAAGTGATGCTGAACTTCAAGCTAATACATTGTGCAGTTTTTCCACATGTGCTGAGTCTCAGAAGAACCACTGCCCAGGCAAGTGGGAAGCCATGCACACTAACAGGATCTCAGGCTCTAAGCTTTGGAGTACTTCTGCTTCAGGCATGTTGTCCTCTTCAGAAACGATTAAGCAGTAATTTTCCTTTATATTTTCTACCTTTGATTCTTGAATTTTTAATTATTATATGCCATAAGTAAAAAATTACCTTAAAAAGAGAAATTAATACTTCCTGCTGCATCAGAGTAAACATTCAGGTGACTCAGAACCTTTAAAATCAGCATGTAGTTGCTTCATAATATTTTACATTATCCTGCAAAAATCTACAATATTCCTTGTGCATAGATTTGTTACAGAGAAAACATTCCACATCAAAAATGCCAAAAGAATTTCTGGTGCTTCAAGAATCCCATGCCAGTGTTTTAATCCAACAAAACAACATAGAACTATATAAAACTCAATTATAAGCAGCTTATTGTAAGCATAGTAGGACTTTGATACTTAATCTAGTAGCTAATAACACCAACATTTTAACTGTCAGTGATTCTCCTAATCCACTGATAACACACATACCTGGCATGCCTGTAGCAAGACCCTGACCAAAAGCCAAAGCTGGATTTGCTGCTGCAGCTGCTGCAAGTGACTCTGCCTGCTGCCCTTGCTGACCCTGGTTGGGAGTAAGTGGGCGCTGAGTTGCTCCAGCTCGCAGAACCTGAAAAGACCAATCACAGAATCCCAGAATTATAGAGGCTGGAAAAGACCTCTGAGATCATGAAATCCAACCTATGACCTAACACCACCACATCAGCCAGACCATGGTGCTAAGTGCCACATCCAGTCTTTCCTTAAACACCTCCAGGGATGGTGACTCCACCACTTCCCTGGGCAGCCCATCCCAATGTTTCATCACCTTTTCCACGAGGAAGTGCTTCCTGATATCCAACCTAACCAACACCCTTTCTTTAAAAGGTAGGAAAGCAAGCCAAAAAAGGTCTAAACAAAATCTAGAACAGTCACTTTGCTTGTTTGATGCCACTTAGCTCTGAATTTAATTTTGGGAATAGTCCACCTTAATGGTTTCAAGGTTGTATCTACACAAAGAATAATAGCAGGCATGAAATACTTTGCTGACCAATGTGACAAATACCTACCCAGCTCTGGAAAACCAAACTCATGCAGTTTCCATCAATGGCAATGAGTATAAAGTAAGGAAGAAAATCTGTAAGAGTGATACATTTATGATCTGCACTATGTATTAACTGAAAGCCTGGCCTTCCCTGATGGATGGATTTGTTTACATTCATTTCAGGGAACTGAATGATGTAAGTCTGAATACTTCAGAGCTTGTAGCAACTTGTCTAAATAATTAACACTACACTGCCAACAGTGCTGTAAAAATGCACCCACTAAGTTTTAAGAATTCACATAACACTCCATCACCATGCAACACAGGCTTATTTTATTATATACTGACAGTGTATCCCTAGGAATCTGATTGAAAAGCAATCTAAACTCTTGCAACTACTCTGTTCCTCTTGGTTCTAATTACCTTTTCCAGGTCAAAAATAAGAGGGAAATACAATTTACAGTACATCCCCACCAAATATCTTCCATGTGATTTGTATAGATTGGGTATTAATTTTATAGATGAAAGCAAAAAACACTGGAGAGATGATATACATTGAGTTATCAATGCAGTTAGCTGGTATCCATCAGTTAGAGGAAAGATCCACCTCAATATTAAAAGTGATTAAGCTACTCTGGAACTTCATGTTAACTCAGTCACTTCACGCATTACACGTGTAAGATACACACCGAAATTAACCATACTGCTAGTAAAAAAACCCCAAACAAATATTTACATTCATTTAAGCTTAAGATCATTCTCAGATCTGTGTTTTTATTTTGTGGAAGAAGGCCACTTGATGAGAAATCATGTAATGGTTTTAAAAAGACATCTGGAGTAACAACCGAAAATCAGCATTTTTTAAAAACTTACTTCAAGAAATGGACATTTCAAGTTCTTGTAACAATTGCTTACTCTTCATTTACCAAGCCAAAAATAACATATGGCACATGATGCTGCTGTAATAAAATTATTGTGTCACAGAAAAATATGCAGGGCAATCCCTCTTCCCAGTGAAGCAACAAAACTACTGATAAAATGTTTCTTTC